AGTATAATTTATCTTCTGTAACATGTGTGTAACCCAGTGATTTGTAGTAAATGTCCTGAGTTATGCGTGTATCACTTTGAAAGTTTCCTTCGCGTCCCTTGAGTTTGCAGTTCTTAGCTCTCACACCACATGCCTATTTTTGACACATTATTTTTTTTGCCTCCACCTCTCAAAAGAACAGTCCACATACAATACTTAAAGTCGTTCCCTCAGCAGCTAAGAGCGCCTGCTGTCCTTGCAGGGGACTGGAGTCGGTTCCCAGTCCCCACCCTGGTGGCTGACTACCCTGAATTTCAGCTTGAGGAGAGCCAATGTTCTCTTCCTGATTTCACTGACAACCTCCCCCCACCCCCATGCATATTCACAACCATAAAAAGACACAAAAAGAAAACAAAGCTTTTCTTTAAAAAAAAAGCAAAAAAAAAAAAATCCATCTGAATATGAGGTTAACTGCTTTGATGCAGGAAGAGGTAGAGCGCATGCACTGTAGAGAGCAGTCCCGTTGACTGGGCCTTGATACTTACTGTGTCACTCACTCATTGCTTCCGCCCCCACCTCAGTCTCTTCATCTGTGAAATGGGCTAATTATGGTAATTAGTTTCCAGAGTTGTTGTGATGATTATAAATAATGAGTGCTTACTATTATTTGCGGAAGCTGCCGTGTGTCGAGAACTTTAGTTAATATGATTAATCTCTTTCTGGTGTAGGCCCAAAAAGATGGGCTGAGTGTCTTTGCAAAGAGAGCAGTTTAAATCAGATTCTGTATCTGAAGTTTGCTTCAAGTACAAGTCTCTCTCCCTCCGTGTGTGTGTGTGTATGAATATTACATGCATGCATGTGTATGACTGTAGTTTGACTGTAAAAGCAAGCTGATTTCCAACAGAGAGCATTTTGCAGTGTCTTTATTTAGAGAACTCTATTAAGCCATTTTCCCTGCATCTTCCATGTTTATATTTGACAGGGCTTTGACACCAGGGAGATAATTGCCCACCTTTTCTTTCTTTCTTTTTTTTTTTTTTGTAGAAACCATAGTGACCATAGGAAAGCGCTGGAAATTGTGTCTTTCTCTCGCTTGAGGACAGCCGCCTACCAAATGAGCAGGGCAGGGCGACAGGGATTCAGTTTGTCTCTGGTAGCTTGACAAGCCGGAACTGAATTATCCTTTAATGAGATCTTTGTCTTCTCTTTTTGTTCTTTTCTCTGTGTACAGATGCACAAAGCAGGGTCATCAGAAGTCCCTCGATTCAAAAGATGAGAATCCTGAGAAACACTGCCCACTGACGGTGAACCCCTGGCACATGAAGAAAGCCTTTAAAGTCATGAATGAACTAAGAAGGTACCGGACTGTCACTCTAATGCATATGCACCCATTAGCTTTCCTTTTATTTCTCTTTGTCTGTAGGACCCTGCTCCTCCATTGTTACTGGGATACAGGGAACATCAAAAGCTTTTCTGCAAGGTTTTTAGGAGAAGCAAGGCCTGGGAAGTGCAGGTGATAGACAGCTCCTCTGTCCAATAGCCTGTAGTCATGCATGGCGGGTGTGAGTGCAGGCTTTCTCTAAGGAAAGTCTATGGTGACTTTCCAAGGAAAATAATTCCTTTCCTTTTCTCTTTCCTGCCCTTTCTTTTCTAGTTTTAGTACCTTTGAGAGAAAGTCTGTGTGTTCCAGGTTGAGCATGACCTTGAACTCCCGACCCTCCCTTTGCCATTCAATTGCTGGGTGACAGGCGTGGTCTACCACTATGCTCCCGCTTATAAATATGCGCTAAATATGTTTTTGATCTTTAAAATACAGATTGCATGATAAACATTGTCAGATATTCTGCTTATTCATTTGTTCATTCATGTGTGTGTGTGTGTGTATGGGTGTGTGTGTGTGGGTATGTGTGTGGGTGTGTGTGAGTATGTGTGTGGGTGTGGGTATGTGTGTGTGGGGGAGTGTGTGGGTATGTGTGTATGGGTATGTGTGTGTGGGTATGTGTGTGTGGGAGGTGTGGTATGTGTGTGTGGGGGTGTGTGTGGGTATGTGTGTGTGGGTGTGTGTGTGGGGTGTGGGTATGTATGTGTGGGAGGTGTGGTATGTGTGTGGGGGGGTGTGTGGGTATGTGTGTGTGGGTATGTGTGTGTGGGGGGGTGGATATGTGTGTGTGGGTATGTGTGTGGGAGGTATGGTATGTGTGTGTGGGGTGGGTGTGGGTATGTGTGTGTGGGTATGTGTGTGGGGTGTGGGTATGTGTGTGTGGGGGGGTGTGGGTATGTGTGTGTGGGTATGTGTGTGTGGGAGGTGTGGTATGTGTGTGGGGGGTGGGTGTGGGGTGTGTTGGGGGTGTGTGGGGTACACTCTCTGTGCACACATGTGGGCACATATGGAGGTGAAGAGGATAGGCTGTGGGAATCCATTTTCTACCACTGTGTTCCGGTATTTGAACTCATGTCTTCAGCTTTGATGGCAAATGCTTTTGTCCTCTGAGCCTGGGGATTTAGGGATTTAAATGGAATATTTTATTGAAATTAATCTTGTTTATTTTTACCTTTCAATGTGACTACTGGAAAAATCGTTACTTGCATTGTATTGTCACTCATTGATACTGAGGACAGGCTTCTAATTCCAGCCGTAAGGAATGTGGACACATACTTTTAGACAAGGAAACTTTAGCTTGCGCACTGGCAGTTGTAGTCGTTGGGGACAGTACCTGACTGTTGCTAAGGTGATTCTCATGTATGTTAAGGGCCATTGCCACACACTGGGCCTTCCTGCTACACACTTGCAGTCCTAGCATGCGACAGACTGAGGCTGGAAGCGCTCACATTCAAGCCAGAGTTGACTCTATAAAGAGATCTGGTTAAAGAGAAAAGACTTTGGTGATAAAGGTAACATTAAAAGCTGAGTAAATAGAATAGAGTCTGGAGAGATTGCTCAGCAGTTAGAAATGCTTGCTACTCATGCAGCAGACCCAGGTTTGGTTTGCAGCACTCACACAGTGGCTGGAACAGTCCATAACTTTAGTTCTAGGAGAGCCAATGCTGTCTTTCGATCCCTTTGGGCATCAGACACCCATGTGGTGCATACACGTACACTCAAGCATGACAGTCAAGCATAAAATCGAATAAATCAAAAACCAAACCAACTAAAAGACTGGTTTTTAGCAGCCCCCCCCCCCCCCGCGCCCTTGCTCCTGTTGGCCACAGTAGCTTTGCTTCCTTTTTTACCTTGGTCTCTGGTTGACCTGGACATGATTCACTACACCACAGGATCGCAATACTTCCTGCTCCTTCCCCTGAGGCAAATGACTGCATTTTGAGCCACACTTGACTTTGAGTCTTTGCTTTATCCCAGGATTGTTTGGCTCTGGCCATCCCCAACCTGGTGTGGGTGTGGACTATGTGGCTGTTCATTGTGTTGCACTATTTCATGAGCCAGAGTCCCCAGCCAGGGGTTCATGCTGATCTTCAAACAAGGGAGACCTTTGAGTAGTTGTAGTTGGCTGCTGCTCTGGAACCAGGCATGTTTTAGTGATGTCACTCGCCGATAGTATTTTTAAAATGTGCTTACTGTGCAAGAATGAGAACCTGCATTTGGACCCTCAGAACAGCATCAGTAGCCTGGAGCATTAGCACAGGTCTGTCAGTGAGAGAGGCAAAGACAGGAGCATCCCTGGGGCTCACAGAACAACCAGTTTAGCCAGTCACCAGCTTCATTGAAAGACCTAGTCTGAGAAGGTAAAGGAAGAGCAACAGAGGAAGACATTTGAGGCCAGCCTTTGGTCTCCACACATTTTCACGTGTGCACACAGGTACATACACCGCTGCACATGCGTATAGACACGAACAGAAAGTGAATTAACTGCACAGCTGGGAAATGGATAAGCTGTGGCTAAAGTAGATTAAGGCTTTTATTCCGAAGAACGTATAGAAAAAGGCTAAGAAGCAAGAAGACAGACTCATTTGTTTTGGAAATGTTATTCTTGAGCAGTATGACACTGCTTGCTTTTAATTCTTATACTGGGGAGTCAGAGGCTGGAGGATGTCTGAGTTTAAGGTCTATATAGTGAGTTCTAGGGCTTCATAGTGAGACCGAGTCTCAAAAAAAAAAGTCATCTTTATTTCCTATTTTCTGTGTAATTCTTGTAAAAATACAAATACATGAAACTTGAAGAAGCTTTCTATTGTACAGCTGAAAGTCACTAATTACTTCCTGCCCTTGCTTCAGCTTCCTGTTGCCAGAATAGGGTAGCCCAGGGTGGTTTCCTGACTTCTGGGAAGGGAGAGCTTCCCTGATCTCTCCTGAGCTTGGCCTCCATCCTCCAGCCTTGTGGCTCTAGCCTATGGCGGTGGTGGGAGGCGGGGAAGAGAGAGTCACAGCTGTGCATTAGGGATGGCATTGTTGGACACTTTGCTGGTGAGCACAAAGTCCCTTTCATGAATCACTTGTGTAAGGTATGGTTGCCTACACGTCTCTCCCCGGATAGAGGAAGAAGGGCAGGAGCACTGAGAGAGAGGTTTAGCTGAAAACAGACCACACGTCCTGATGTGGACAGCACCATTCCACGGACTGTGGTCCTGGAAAAAGCCATCTGACTGCCAGTATCCCTTCTCTCTGCATCTTGACTTACCCAGATGTGAATAAGCCCCTACCACCATTCCATCCCACCATGACAGACCGTACCCTCAAACTGTTACCCAAATAAATCCCTTCTCTCCCGAGTCCCAGGATTCACACATAGGGCCAGACACAGCAGTCTTTTGTGGTTTAACTAGTTGCACAGCCAGGAAAGGACAGACCTAAGATGAGGGGAATAAGGCTTTATGCTGGCACTATGTAGACGGGGTGCGAAGTCAGAGAAGGACAGCATCCTGCTAGGCTAGAGGCGTGTGTGGATTTTGACTGAATCTTCTGGGTAGTGTTATTCACTGATGGTTTCTGAGAAACCAAGGAACAATGTAAGATGAGGGATTTGGGAGGCTGGCTCCAGTACAGCACGGATTCTCTGGTACTTTAACTTGGCTTCTCTCAAGTGCAGTTGAAGGGGTGTTACTTTAAAGTGAGAGTGTTGTCAGAGTCAAACAGTGGTCCCTTAACTGCTCACTCTTTGAACTGGCTCAGTGTTTCCTCTCACTGTATTTTTTCAAGGTAAAACTTACCTGAACAGTATATTTTTAAAACTCTATGTTTGCTATGTGCTACGCAGGGATGAGTATAGGAAGGGGTGAAGAAGCAGGGAATGTCACAGGTACCTTTTTATATTTTGATTCCGGGTCTCACTTTGTAGACTTAGTTGGTCTGGAAATTATGATTAGGCTGGCCTCTAACTCAACCAAGCTCCTGCCTCCACCTCCCAAGTTCCCAAGTGCCGACATTAAGGCCAGCTTTTTTTTTCTTTTTTTTTTGCAGGGTTGAGTAGGTCTTAATGTATCCCTGGCCTCCTTGAAATGGTGCACCTAAGGATAATCCTGAACTCTTCACCTTCCTCCCTGCACCTTCCAAGTACTGGAGTTACAAGCATGCACCCCCATACCCAGTTCTCAGAACTGTTACTCAGAAATTTTCATTGCCAGCTTTGTAGACATTAAAGAACGGTAGCGAATAGGGCAGCGTTTTATCTTCAAAAGAAATGAAAGAAACACAGTTTATATTTCTAGGCTGTGTGATTCTATCTGAGCTTGTTGCAGTAATTCTTATCGAGGGTGTGGGTGGTGGGCAGTCTCTTAGTTTTATTAGAGGGAATGTAATTTTTGGCTCTTAAATTTAGAGGCCAAAAGTATTCTGTAAGGATGAACTGTGATTCACCTGTGTGTCTTACATAATCCATACATACTTAGTTATTCACCAGTAGTAGTGGCTTTTACATTGTGGAGCAGGAACAAAAGACTGGAACCTTCTCTTAAAGGAATGATTGTCACTTCCCTTCCCACTGTACCCCAGGATTGACACAGGGAGAACCCAGCTTCCTCCTGGGATTCTGTTATCTGTGCTGTACCTACAAACAATCGAACTATGGCGATTCCTGTGTGGCTGTTCATACCTTGTTGCTTAGAGGTCAGGGCAAGTAGATTGAACAGTGAACTCAAGCAAGGCTGCCTTAGTTTTGATACCTTTCTGTCAATAGTTTTAAAAAGAGATTTTAGAAGAATCACATAGGGTGTGACTTTCTGTTCTAGTATTTTTGATATGGTAGAGTGTTGCCAGGACCTTTTGGTTTTGTGCACTACAGTGGAATACGAGATCTTCCTTGAAGGACAGGAAGCCCTTCAGTTCTTCCAGATGTATTTATGTAAGAAAGATCGAGAGACAGCCTGGAGCACGAGCAGAATTAACCAGCAGTAGTCTGCAGGGTCTCATAAGCACTGGTAGTTGATTTCTTTTTAATGGTCTTTATTGAGCAGGGAGAGGATCATTAAACTCTTGTAGAATGTGGAGAAGGGACAGTTGAAAATGACTTCACTAAGACAACCTTCTCTCCTCCTTCTCCCTGAGATGCTGCCAACTCGAGAGGCATGAATTACCCACTGCACCACCTCAGTTTGCCCTTGGTAGCCTCAAAAAACAGAAGTCAGAGCCTTGCCCAGCCTCTTTCCGTTTAGTCTGAGCTGTTGCACCATCTTTTTGTCACACAGATTTATTTGTTCGCTTTATTTATGGATTTGTATGTATGCCTGTGTGAATTTATATGCACTGTATATTTGGTATTGCCTGTGGAGGCCAGAAGGGGGCGTTAGATCTGAATTGGACAACATTGGAACTTAATGTTGTGAGCGTTTGATGAGGATTTTTGGGATATAATCCATACCGACTATAGGAGCAGTAAGCCAGTAGGTGCTC